AAGCCAAGCGCGTCCCTACTAGCGTATGGCCATTACGTCCTGCGTTAGATGTTTGGTGCTAGTCTCCAGGCATGATGTCCTTGAGTCATGCGTGCTCACGGCCTCCCCCCTGCATGCTAGTGTCCAGGATGTGTTGTGTATTCCTACTGGCGTATGGCCATTACGTCCTGCGTTAGATGTTTGTTGCTAGTCTCCAGGCATGATGTCCTTGAGTCATGCGTGCTCACGGCCTTCCCCCTGCATGCTAGTATCAGAATACTTTTATACCTACTGGCGTACGGCCATTACGTCCTGCGTTAGATGTATGGAAACAGTCTCCAGGCATGATGTCCTTGAGTCATGCGTGCTCACGGCCTTCCCCCTGCATGCTGTTTTCCAGTATACAGTTGGCTTACCATACTTCTTTTATATTCATAATTACGTAGAAAATTTTTTACAAATTACCGGTAATCCCATTTTTATTTATCATGAACGTTAAGTCAAAACTTTATTATATAAAACATAAATATATGATGCTATCAAAGAGGGAGGAGGGAGTACGCGGATCCTAGGCCATTTAATGTGAGTCCCAGCATCAAGTTATTTCTTCGCTCTCTAACTCTTTCGAAAAATACAGCTAATTTGTTTCTATTGCTACTAACCACAAGATTCTCACCCCACACCACACTCTTTTTCTATACTATTTTTCCGAAATTAATTAACCCATCAATATCTACAGAATTTTTATGCATCTATATCACTACACCCGCACAGACTATTTAAGACAAGAGAACTTTGCCGAGATAGAAAAATTTCGAATCTACAGCATAGGGAGGTTAGCAACTTAAGTAAAAAAATAATTCTTCCAATTCACACTTACTGATATAGTTCATTTTCACAATATTCCATTCCACCGCATATACGAGGAATTGATTGCTTAATTTTTTATGCGTTATCGCCGGAATGAACCTTCGATTTTTTTTATGAGCACATAATAGAAAAAACATAAAGGAAAAGGTGCATTTCTTTCCTTCTTTCTTTTATTTCCTTTGTTTCCTTTTATTCGTTTATTATTTTCTATCAATAATTCAGCACGTGAAGATGTTATGTCAGAAGATATACTGCGTCAGATTTTTGCTGTGCCGTTGCATGTGACGAGATTCATATGATGGTCAGTGATTCTCGGCGATGCTGATATATAATAAGAAAAGTAGTATGTCCGTTTTATTTTGGAACATCTATAGAGGCGGGAAATCGGTTAAGATCGCGTTGACATATTTCAGGAAGCTAGCCGAATAATAAGCCAAATTACCT